CAGGGTCTCCATGCCACACGGCGTGTCTTTCAATCCCTGGCCAACGCGGCTCATCGCCAGATCCGGTTCTTACCTGGTGCCGCTGTTCCACTTCGGCCACAGAGTTCCACTACGGGCACTTGGGCTGGCGTTCTTCAAGTAAGTGATTGGCCAGCACATGCTCTTACCCTTCCGTGGGCAAACTTCGAGCACAGTTGTGGACGCATCCACGTTAGCAAGTTTGTGACCAGCGCCTTCCCTATCATCGGTGCCACTATCTACGCCTGGTCCCCAGGACCTACGTGGCCACGAGCGCGTGCACATACGCAAGGTCTACTACATCAACTGACCCAAAACTTAGTGTTGGGGAGTTCCGGCGCTCGCTTCATTGCTGGAGACTTCAATGACGCTTCGGGACAGTATGATGAAGTTGAGATCTGGTTGCAGCTGGGCTGGCGTGAAGTCCAAACTCTTCGATTCCAGGCCGCTGGTGAGCCACCCGAGGCCACATGCAAGGGAGCTACACAGCCGGACAAGATTTACATCTCGCCCGAGTTAGCCTTGCATTTTCAAGGAGTCACTGTCCACCATTGCTTTGCAGATCATGGTGTAGTCGAGGCCAAATTCCATGTCCCGAACTGTCAATCCCATCAGCTTTGCTGGCATATGCCTGTGCCACTGCCTTGGAATGGTTTGGATCTCCAGGACTGGCCTAGACATGCACGGCCACCACCAGCACTAGCCAACTGCCTAGACGTTACCGAGCACTACCACCTTCTGGGCAAAACTTATGAAGACAGCTGTGCCACTGCGCTTTTGCAGCAACGGGGCTTTTCTCTCCCATCCCATTGTAGGGGTCGTGGGGCCACTTTGCAGCCTCACACTCGTCCCACTCAGATGCCTACTTTGCGTCCATCTCGGGCGGGTGAAATTGCTCCGGCAAGCAGTTTTGTCAATCGGCAGCTTCAACATTGGTTTCTTCAGTTGAGGAGGGTGCAATCACTTGTGCACAATTGTCGAGCCAATCATCATCATGCAGCCGCGTTGGAGTATCGCCTCACCACCTGGCGGGCCGTGCTTGCAGCGAAGGGCTTTGGTGACTCGTTTGCTATGTGGTGGCAGCAGCGACCTGTGCGGCTTCAATCGTCTGTTGCCTGGATTCCTACGTTGTGTCCTGACCTTGCCACACTGGAGTCATTGTTTGATGATTTGCAAGCCAATTACCGCTCCATGGAAAGTTGGCACTTGCGAAACCGACAACGAGCTCTTCAGCTGCGATACCACGAGTGTCACAAAGCTGCGTTCTCAGTGGTGCAGTCACCAAAATGTCCGCCACTCACTGCACTTCGCCGCAATGAGACTGCCGAGATCCTCACAGTGGACCCTCAGCAGTCGTTAGTGCATGTTGATCGCCCTTTTACGGACTGTGCTGCCAGTCACTGGTATCTAGATGATTGTCCTGCAATCGTTGAGAAAATCGATGAGCAGCTCTACAAGGTCACTTCAGACTTGCTGCTGTGTCCTGGACAAGAACTGGAGCAACGTTGTCATTTTGCCAAGACTGAGGAAGCACTCCAAGAGTTGGCCACTTTCTGGACACCACGCTGGAATAGGCATGCTGACCTCCCGCCAGATGCTTGGCGACGAATCATTGCGTTCACAGAGCATTTTATGCCTGCCCTGCCCTTGCAGCTGCCGGAGCTATCAGTTGCCTCCTGGGATGCCATTAACCTCCGCTACCACGACCACTCAGCGGTGGGTCCTGATGGATTTGATCAGTGTGATCTTCGTCGGATGCCCATATGCTACAAGCAGTCCATTGTGACGCTGTTTCGCCACATTGAGGACACTGGCGATTGGCCTTGTCAACTACTACAAGGGCATGGCATTCCTCTCCCCAAGCACTAGCAAGCGGAGGAAGTGGGCCACTTTCGGCCCATCATCATCTTCAGCATGTTGTATCGCAGCTGGTCGAGTTGCCGCAGTCGTTCTCTTCTCTCACAACTTGGCCATTATGTGGGCTCAGGTTCCAAAGGTTTTCTTCCGGGACGAGAAGCTGGTCAACTTTGGATGTATGTGCAAGCACTGATCGAGATTGCCCTGCAAAGTGATCACAGCCTTTCTGGCTGTAATACGGATGTCATGAAAGCCTTTGAAAGTGTGCCTCGACAACCGTTACAAGCGGTGGGTCATCTCCTTGGATTGCCTCCTGCGCTGTTGAGAGCGTGGTTTGCCTTTTTAGATGGCTGTGTCCGACGATTCACTCTTCATGGCACGGTTGGTGCCGGCCTCACTTCCAGCTCGGGGCTACCAGAAGGGTGTGGGTTGTCTGTCTTGGGCATGACGCTCATCGACTGGATCTATGAGGTCTACTACAGTCGATATGCACCCAACTGCAGGTCGTTCAGCTTTGTGGACAACTATGACCTGGTCTCGTCAGCTATGAGTGACTTGTTCCAAGGTGCTTCAACCCTTAAATCGTATATGAGCATTTGGCACTTGGCTCTCGATGACTCTAAAACCTTCTTTTGGTCAGTTTTGGCACGAGATCGTGACCTTCTCCGTTCTTCAGGATTGTCGGTCAGGCTGCAAGCCTCGGACCTTGGTGGAGCAATGACCTACTGCCGACGTACTTCGGCAGGTGCTCAGCTTACTCGCCTTCGAGCACTTCAACCTCATTGGCTTGCCTTGCGGCGTTCACCTATGCTTCTGGGGCAAAAGCAACAGCTGATTTACGTTGCACTCTGGCCAAGAGCTCTTCATGCCATCGGCATATCCTTGCTCTCACCTACACACCTCCAGACACTTCGCACACAGGCCTGTAAGGCCTTGGGCTGGACATCAGCTGGGTCCCAACCCATCGTGAGGCTCAGTTTGTTGAGCATTGCCCCAGAGCTGGATCCGGGTTACTATCAGTTGCAGCGGGTCTTCACTGATTTCCAGCGTTTCCTGCGGAAAGACTCTGCCCTTCTGGAGTTATGGTGCGCCTATATGCAGAACTATGACGGAACATGGTTCTCGGGTCCCTTCAGCAAGATCTTGGAGCAGTGTGCGTTGATTGGATGGCAGATTCACTCACCGCCTTGGTTTCAGGACCATGACCAAATCAGATGGAACCTGATCGACATTCCAAAGTCATTGCTCAAACAACTGTTACTTGACGGATGGCATCAGCATATTGGCCAGCTCCTGGCCCGACGCAAAGACTTTGCAGGACAACAGGGGCTTCATTGGCGGTTGTCCAAAGAGGAAAAGTCGCTCACTGCCCTGCAGACAGCTCAACTGCATGCACTACGAGATGGTTCCTTTATGACGCAGGACTATCTGGGCAGATTTGACTTGCAGCGAGGTTTTCAATGCCAATTTTGCCCTGCCATGGATTCCATGCAGCACTGATGCTTGGAATGCCCCGCCCATGCTGATCTTCGTGCTCTTCATGGGACGGCTATAGAGATTTTTCGTACCTCTTCTCGCAACTTGGCTGAACATTTAATGCCCAGTCGCTTGATGACTTGGCCGGCTGCTGAACGTGCTCTCATGGACCTGCCAGACACCACTGCCGACTTCTTTGTTGAGGCTGACCAGCATGAGCACTATGATCTCTTCTCCGATGGCACGAGTGACCTGCCACGAGATCCTGAGCAATGTTTAGGCGCCTGGAGTGTTGTTTCAGCTACACATAGAGGGGTGGTGAGCTCCGGTGTTTTGGTTGGGCTACAGCAATCCAATAACAGGGCAGAGCTCACCGCTGCATGGTCAGCGGTGCAATGGACACTACTCCATCGAGTACATGTAACTCTGTGGACAGACAGCTCGATGGTAGCCTCAGGTTTCCAACGCATGTGGGTCGATTTCACCGACGTGCCTTCAGAAGAGCATGAGGACCTTTGGCTTCTCATTGCGGGAGGCCTTGCTCAGCTCCCAGCTCAAACCTTCCGGGTATGCCATGTTGCCTCTCACGCTGACCCCGAGCAGGCCAGTTCAGAGGTAGATGCCTGGCTTGCACACTGGAACAACGTGGCTGATGTTCAGGCCAGGCGTACACAGAGTCACCGGCCAGATACCTTCAAGCTGGTTTGGCGAAGCTACCAACAAGAGCTTTTGGAAACTCGGCGACAGTTAGCCTTGCTTCGTGGCTTTCATCTCGCTCTAGCTGCAGACCGGCGCCGACGTGCGCAAGTCATGTCCTCGGATGAGGTTACCGAGGATCAAGCGGTTCGAGAACTGAGTGCTTCTGAGCGTAGGCCGGCGGATCCAGTTCCTTGGCTCGATGGCCTCCCCCTCACTTGGGCGGCCGAGTGGAGTCGCAAGAATTCGTTTGATTTTGGAGAGACTTTTTCTGTGCAGTGCATCATGTGGTTGCTCTCCCAGCAAGCGGCAGCTGAGGAGTTTTTTGAAATCTCTTGGTTTGAGCTGGCCGCAGCTTTTTACTGTAGTGGTTTTTGTCACCCACACCTGTCCACCCATGCCAATCAATGGATTGAAGTTCGAGAGGGTCGTTTTTCGGAATCTAGCCTTACTGTTGCTCTTAGGGTTCGTTACGCTAGGTCGCTTGTGCGCTTTTTAGCCCGTCATTTCAGTTTGTCGGTGGTTTTTGTGAATGGGATTGATTTACGTCGACTGAATGTGAACTATCCTTTGAGTGGCTTGGTGCTCGGACTTACTGCTTCCACTTTGAGGCAAGTGGATCAGCTCCTTTTAGCTTTTACTGCCCGCCGGACTGTACGTACAGCCACAGACTTGGCCAGGCCTTTCGTTCGATAGCTTTCGACTCACTTCAGACTTGGACCAGCTGCTCTGCTTCGCTGAGCACTGGAGCTTCGCAAGAGCGTCCGCATGTGTTTTTTTTGTCCAAACCTGGAGCAACTTTTGAACAGGACCGTGCCGTTGTGTCTTTTGGAGCCTTTCTCCGTTCGTTTGGAAGCCGTTGATCTAAAGAAACAGCTCGGAGAGCTGCAGGACTCCAGACCCCAGATTGCACCAACCAGACCAGACCCACACTGAACCGGTACTTAGCGGAGGAGCGCGCAGAGCAACGGCGCTTGGCGGAGCTGGCGGACGAGTCAGAACGGCTGAAAGCCACGATCGCAAGGCAGCAGGAGCAGATCAATGCCTTGCTGCAGAAGCTCGGCAGAGTTTCACCACCCTGCCACTATGTGCCACTTCTACAAAATGTCACGGATTGTTGAGGTGTTTGGTGGGGGCAGCATCAGGAATTCGAAGGGTGGCGTATAGTATACACTCCGAAACGACGCATGTATCACCGGATTGCCAACGGAACGGTGCGGAATCGTGCACCGGACGGGATGGGAGTCGGTCGATCCCATACTCCGCCACCACACCCGGATGGGCTCCGTTCTCGGACCTTCGTTTCGTTTCGGTGGGACTGGGGTGGGTGCCAGGTTCGGGTCCAGTCATACCTTCGTTTCGGAGGTACGACTATAGGGCCGCCCGACTGGGGACAGTAGATCCAAGTCGATTGGAGGGTTCCTACCGGACGTCACTCCATGGGACTTTGAATGGTTTACTGTGTTTACTTACATTGGGGGTCATGGGCCAATGGGTGTAAATGTCCTTACATGCATGGGTGTAAGGGCTAGGGACGAGCTCTTGTTGACGGCCCCTGCCCTAAGGAAGGAGGTCGGCGCGTCAGACGTGCCCGCCGCAAGTCACGCGGCGTCCGAAGTGCCTGCCGCAAGTCATGCAGCTGGGAAGGCAGATGAAGTGGTCCCCTAGATGTCCAAAGACTATGAAATAAATAGGCTGAATCCCGAACCAACTAAGGATTTTTACACTACAAAAACCAGTTCGCCCATTGTTTCAATGGTTGAACGGAAGTCTATAGGGTGTCCAGATTCCTCGCAATTGGTGGCTTCGATGCGAGGAATCTGGACCGCGCAGTATGCCAGGGTGGGATGGAATGGATGGAAGTCCCCCCACACAAGGAAGTGGTTTTTGGTGTTTCACCTGAGCGGTTCGTGACTCCGTGACCTCTTTGAAGTTTTTGTGTCTTGTGACCTAAGTCTCAATCTTGTACAGACCTGTCGGTGACCTCCTGGGAGATCAAGGTTTGGTCACGTACTGAAGGTCCAGAAGTTCATACTGTGAACTTCTGGGCGTGTCAAACAGGCACCCGAAGCTTCGGGATCCTAGGTCCTTGGTCCTCAAGTACTTCGGGATCCATTAGCAGGGCCCAATTCTGAAGTTCTAGTGCCATCATCACTGTTTGGTGGTTGTGGAGGAGGTGGTTCATTTCGGTTTCTTACCTTTCTGGGCATTGGTCAGAGCAGCTTAAGACTGGCCCGGGCGCCTTTTATAATTGAGACATGTTGTCAAGTATCAACCGATCTACCTACATCGTGGTTGGTTGAGTTTTATTGTAATTATAGTAATAAGCCTATTCCCTGCACATAGTGTTTGGGCTGGATGCTTCGTTCAGCTGCCACCTGCCCCAGTTCTCCCGCTCGGCCTCAAAAAGCGGCGAACGCGCCTTGCGCAAATCTGAAACCAGCAACTATGCTCCCGAAAACTAGCATCTACCCTGGGAATGGGACCCGGAAAGGCTGTTTTCATCTACAAAGCAGTGGTTTTCAGGGTCCATGTTAGTTTTCCACGGGGTGCCGCTGCCAGGCAGAGAACTGGAGCTGCAAGGATTGCACTTTTCAGAACGTGGAGCCGCTCCAGGAGTGTGGCTCGGACGGGGAGAGCAGAGCACCAGAGCAGGGCTGGAGAGCAGGCTTTGCGCCCGCTGGATGCCTTTTGCGGGGTGGAGTAGGCTTCAGCCTAAGACTCACAAGAGAAGAAGTGGCGGGAAGAGAGCTTTAGTGGTGAAGGAAGCGTGGAGGGAAGGTTACATGAAAGCCTGATCCTGAAGAAACGAGTTTGAAGATGAAAGTAAGAAGAATTTGCTATCAGGGCATGACTACCATGTGCTTTTCCCTTTGGTGCTGCGTCCTCAAATGAATGAGCTGAGAATGTGTGTGTGTATGGTTTTGTTTCACAGCCACCTGCTGCAACAGATTTTGCATCCAGGATCTTTTAGGGATGTTGAAGGCCTCCATCAATTGCAATCAATCAAGGGAGTTCCTTGATCAAGCTCCAACCTTCATGGGCCAGAGGCTTTTTGCCAGACTCATAGACAGAATCTGCTAGAAACAAGCTAATACGTGCCTCTCGTGGGAGCTCAACGACGCCAAAGACGTTGTTAAATGGAACCCTTGCCGGTGTTCATCCTTGATTAGGCATCGGCCTGGCACAACCTGCAAATTTGGTCATAGAAATCCTTTTGAGGATGCATCGGCTAGGCCTAAAAATTACGGCTTGGGCCTAGGCTGTACACATGAATCCCAGCACTATCAATCACTATCTTCGCCTCACCAAACGTGTCTTGTTCCACCACAGTGCCAGGTGAGATGTGCGGCGCTCCACGCGTCTCCACGGTGCCGGAAGCGCCGCCGGCCAAGCGCGTCCGCCGCGCGCCGCCGGTGATCGACGTACCCGTGGAGCCGCCGGCGGTGGAGCCGGGTGCGGCGGAGTTCTTGCGAAGGGCGACGGAGGTGGTGGAAGCTTCGCAAGGGTGCCTTGGCTTGACTGTGACTCGGCGTACTGAGACATCTTCTGGGTGTTCGAGCGCAGGATGTTCGGATCACCCGAGCGCCAGCGCCAGAGGAGGTAGGCCCGAAACGAGGGTCCGGGAGCTCGGTCCGGAAGCTCCGCTCCCTCCAGCGGTAGTAGCACCCGCATGAGGTCCCATCCATCACGGGTTGTCGACGACGTCAGTTCTGCTGGATCTAAGAGATGGAGACCACCCGAGGGTGGTACCCTCATGGCACCCTCCAAGACAAGGCCGGGTAATTATATTAAGATACTCCATTTTGTATTGGAATAGTTACTATGGGTCATTTTCGTGGGGTGTTTCATGTATGGTACCAATGGCGCCTATTCCAGTCGCATTCGTTTTTGTTTATTTTTATGTGTTCTGTGGATCCACTGACACCTTCACCAATTTGTATAATTGTAGTTTCAAGATACGTATATACTCGTAATGTAATGTGTGATTTGTTTTGGTTTTCTCGGTTGAGATGGTCATGTTGACCCATCAGCAGGATCAGGGAAATCGGCTTTGTCCAAAATACTATACCTGGAACCTGAGTGAACCCTGTTTGGGAGAATATCAAATGGATTCAACAAGGTCATGTTTGCACATGAGTGGTGCATGACGAACATGAACCAAACATCACCAAACTAGATACACACGGCGTCCGAGCTTCATTTTAGCTCACTGACCATGTAGCAAAAGAGTTCTCTCCGTTTCGTTCGGCTTCTTTGCCTTGATTTGGTATTGAGAGCGTTCTCTACACATTGGACTCCTTCCTTCGCTTTCAGAAGGTCGGTTCCATTCATACACTTCTTCAACCTGCCCTTCCTTAAGTCACAGAATCCCATCCTTCAGTTTTTTGCGTATCAGCCATGGGCAAGAGGGACAAGCCAAAAACCTTGGGAGGCACTCCTCCCACACCGCAAACCTCTCCTAAAAACAGCTCTCCGGATAGGAGCACCTCAAACTGCTGATTGAGACAGAACGCCGCAGAACACACCATCTTCAGGTTGACAGGACCTGCCACGTGCCCTTGGCAGGTCACAGCCCTGCTCTCGAAATGCCGCTGAGCTGGTGGAGATCCCACTGGAGGGTGAGGAGGCCGCAACCAGCAGCGAGGCTGGTGGCCAGTCTTTGGCACGGCTGCCGCGGAGCTTCCATGAGAAACTGTGCCTCGTGTTAAGCTTTAGGACTGCGGTGAGCTTTTGCGGAGAAGGGTGTCCAAAATAGACAGACGGGTGTTCTCATTTAAATAAATCATGGCCTATTCGATCTCTAGCGGGACTGGAGAACCTGGGAGGGCCCCTTGAAGAAAGGGCCCCTGCCTGTTCAATGGAGCCTTCCAGCCTCAGAACCTGGAACAGACCCATTTGACGTGGATTGTAAATGGATTGTAACTAATGGAGGCACATGATTCCAACCCCCCCAGAGGGTTTGCTTTAGGACAAGGGTTCGTAATGATTTGTTTACAATCGTGCCGATCGGGAGTTGGTCGATTGGTCTATGAACCCTACAACCCGGGTCGTACCTCCTCAGAAGGTATGACTGGACCCTCCAAAATCACCCCGAACACCTTCTCACCCTAGAAGCCTCCCACTCCCACATCCTTTCAAGACTTAAGCTGGTCTCCAGCTTCTTTCGCCTTGTTCCAGGTGCCCCTACCAGCGTGCAGGGGTGGCCTGGATGTGGCGCCTCAAGCAGCGGCGCTCGGGAGGGATCCTGGCCGACGAGATGGGTTTGGGGAAGACCGTGCAGGCCTGCGGCATGATCCAGGCCGGGGCGACTCCATGCAGGTGGGAGTTCCGAGGGACTTCGGGGGGTCAGTTTGGTGTTATTGTATGTGGGGGGGGGATAGTGCAGGGATGTGCCAGGGGTTCTGGTCCCCTGTTCTGGTCCTCTCAAGAGACAACATGATAACAACTCATGTAGATTTGGGATGTTGCTTTGGCCAGAAACCGTTGCACCACACAGACCGGAGACCCATAGATTTCCACCAAAAGCTTCAACCATCTTCAACCTTTTGAGAGTCACTTACCGGCTCCTGGAGGGACTGGGGGGTGCTAGGAGGGTCCCAAATGGTCCAAATACCTTCTGAAAGAGGTACGACTGGAGCCCTATATAGGGCTATAGGCTTTTAGTCACAAACAGAAACACCCAAGAGGTTACAAACTGAAGGTCGGTCCTGGCATGTGGCCATGTGTGTTTCCAGTATCATTAGAGGCTGTGTTGTTTTCCTTTTACCTTCCACCTTTGATTTGCACCAACAATTGCTGTCCGTGATGAGTAGTGGATGGACTCGATGTGAAATTTGCACATGAACTTGGCCCTGCACTCCTGGAGGCCCTGCAGTCGCCCAGTAGTCGCTCCAGCCACATCTTAGTGATTATGCCCGTGACCCTGTTGGATCAGTGGGCGAAGGTGGGAGCCGAAAAAGAACGAAAATAATATGGCGGTGTTTGTCCCATTTGGTATGAAGTGTTGCTTAGACATACTTTGACATGTTTACCTTTTGATCAGTGGCATGGTACATCCATGTGGTAGGTGGAACCACCTTTGGTCATGAAATACGGCAGCGTGGGGAGGTCGGAGCCTCGCCGCCGTGCAGTTACTCCTGTAATCTTCTGGCGTCGAATCTATGAATCAAGTCTTTTGTGCATATGTCACGGACTTCATCAGACCTTCCACGCCCCCTTCGGTTCGCGGGGGTGGGAGGAACTCCAATCAGTGCGCCCAGTCTTGTTTCCTCATTTTTGGTTCTTTTGGGCTACTGTGTAGTGGCGACCGGTGACGAAGTAGAGATGGGTTGCAAAACACTGAAGCATCCGCTGGTGGCCTCGTCTATTTTTGCTGACCGGATGGGACATGCTATAGACCAGGTGTGCTTTTCAACAAAATTGAACCCAGGAACTTGAGTGTCAACTCCGTATCATCAACTGTCCAAAACATTGCCTTTTTCCGATTAAAAAGGAGGTCATGTTTGGGTTCTATAGTGGTACTTCCAAGTTATTTGAGTTTGAGGAAATCAGTGACCTCTTCAAGAAAGCCATTATAATTTTGAAGGAGTGCACTGCGAATTGTATAAGAGGGTGTGGCAAGTGTCCAGTTTATCCCACACCCAAATATGGTGACCAGTGGGTACACATGTGTTTTTCCCTCATGTTCCAAGATGGAAGAGTAAGACTCTGAAGTGATCATCGGATGTTGCTTTCTATTCTGGGCTGTTGGTCGTACATCATCCTTACTACTTGCACTCAACATGCTTGCTGAGCTTTGCTGTAACATGTATTTCTAATTGACACCGGACGAGGTCTCCCACGCACCGCAGGAATTGGCACGCTGGTGCCCCACAGTGCGGGTCTACATCTACCACGGCTCTTCAGGACCGTGCTGTGAGCAAAGCTGGCCAAGTTTGTAGCAGTCGCTGTGAGCATTTGTGATTTTCATCCACATTGGCGAAGAACAGAAACATCCCGGCGGAATTATTACCGCCCCACGATTTTTGTTTTTTTCTTTGTTTCGCTGCAGCGACAGCTGATTTTTGAGAAAGAAAAAAGGGTTCAAAAAAATGTCGTTGTTTTTTTGCGTTGTGCAACCCTTACAGCATTTTCTTGGCAAAAAGGGGTCCCCATCGGCACGTTCGTTTGTTGAATTTTGACCACATTTTGGAAAAAAAGTTTATGTTTTGTCACTACTACTAGTTAGTGCCTAGCATTGAGTAGTGGTTAGTAGTTGTAGTTCGATATGAATATATCCTGACGGGTTTTAAACACGCAAGCGCGCAAGCAAACAAATATGCGCAACACAGCATGCGTACTAGTATTGTGTAGCAACGTAGAAGGGTTTCTTATTTATGAGTGGGCAAACCGAACCTTGACATGCCATCCGAACAAAAGATATGAATAAATCCAGACGGGTTTTAAACAAGCAAACGCAAGCTAGCCAAAATGCGCAACCAAGCACGCGTACTCGTATTGTGTAGCCACGTAGAAGGGTTTCTTCTGTATGAATGTGTAATTTGAACCGAACGTTAACATCCCACCCCACCCCACCCTTCCCCACCCCAACCCCCACCCCACTCTCAGTCGCTCGCATTGTGTGGCAACGTAGAAGGGTTTCATCTGTATGAATGTGTAATTTGAACCGAACGTTAACATCCCACCCCACCCCACCCTTCCCCACCCCAACCCCCACCCCACTCTCAGTCGCTCGCATTGTGTAGCAACGTAGAAGGGTTTCTTCTGTATGCATGTGTAATTTGAACCGAATGACATCTGAACCCTCGGAATCGAGGCACTGTGCTGAAGTCGTCCATCTCCAAAACATCCATGTTTTTCTGGATGTTTTTCTGGGCGGTAAAAATTCCGCTAGCAGAAACATGATGAAGCTCATGCAAATGTCATCAAATTTCTGACCTTTTCCCTGCTTGTGTGCTTGCTCCAGTGATAAAACATTTGAGCCATATTTGGGCCTTATTTGCCGAATACTTGAGAAACGACCTGTGGCCACCACTTGGTGGTTGCGAAGTCAGTCTTGGGACACACGGGAATTCAATGGTTCACACTTGTGGCCCGTCGATTCTCAGCTGGTGAATGGAACGCACGACAACATCCTGGCATTTTTGTTTGGTCTCAGTGTTTGCGTCGAAGGAACCAATCTTTTGGGGGAGCTGAGCCAACGCCGATCTCAAACAAAAAGGCGGCCAAAGTCTCCAAGTCACACTGGAGCCACTGACAGCCATATACTGCAATTGGTTTGGGACTGACTACCTCTTCCAATTGGCTCCATCGGGTCCCACTGGGCTCCATTGGATTCATTTGACCCTTTTTCATCCACAACCGAGGGCATCCAGGCAAATCACAATAGCTGGTACCAAAGACCAAAACCATAGACCTAGAATCCATGGTTCCTTAATGTTCCCTAGATAGTGGTAACTGGGATCCACTGGGCAAACTACTGGAGATCCAGTCGTACCTTCTCAGGTACGGTGATGTGTTCGACACCGTGATTTGCCGATGCCATTGTCGGGTTCGCGACTGGATCCCAAACGGGATTGATCGTCAGGACATCGAAATCGAGCGCTGCGTGCCGTCATGCGCGGCGGAGTGCTTCTGACCTCGTATGCGATCCTGAAGAACGAGGAGGAGAAGCTGGCGTGTGTGAATGCCACCAGACGAATTATTTTACAGTGGTTTCAGAGTAGATGGCACAATCCCCAAAGGTCGGTTAAATGATGTTAAATGGACTCCCATTGGAAGGACCTTTTGTTTTGTTCTTTTCTGTGTCATCTACTCCAATGATGTGTAGTGGTAGTAGTGGGGGTCAGAGTAGATACAAAGAATCGAACGAATGTCCTGAAGAGGCTGAAGAGGATTTCCCAATTGGGGGTGGAATAGTAGTGGACATCAAAGTGGCATTTGCTCAGGCAACAGAAGCCACTTCGACTGATAGATGGACTTGGAGAGTTCTAAGCCTGCTTGGAATGCCGTTAGCATCCCACATGTTCAAGTGCAAGGAGCCAAAGAAGACATCAAGCGAAGGAGATCTCTCTCCGGGTCTTCCAAGACTATATATATATTGTGTTTGAGGTCATGTTCCCTAAGTAAGTCACTCAGTTGTGTGGGTCGAGTCTGCTCGTGTGATTCTTTTTTCAGCGCTAGGGGGTGGTGACACGTTCTCACAGGGTCCCATCCCATGGGTTGAAAACACTGGCGTGCCCTGAAATCCGAACCCTTTTGGGCTAAGTTCACCCAGGGGCTTGGGACCTCATGGCTTGAAGCTGAGCGTGGGCATGGGACGCTGTTTTTCGCTGAGGCTTCGGAGGCGATGCAAGGCACCTGGTTGAAGAAGAAGGAGGACTGGATGAGGGGTTCACTAAGACCCAAAACCCGGATGAAGCGAGAATGTGATTGACGTTGGTGCCCCCTGGCTCCATATCTGATGATCTCACAGAGGATGGACAAAAACAACCAACACCTTCCAACAGGTTTCCGAAAGGGTGGCTTTTGCCGGCTTTAAAGTGGCAGGTGGTGACCTGGCAGGTTTCGGGTGCGACAACCCCTCCCAGTTCGAAGGACCTGCCACGTGACAAGCCCTGGGACTTGGCTCCTCGGCACAGGGCGCGCACCAGCCTTACAAACGCGAACGCACCGTGCGTTCCTTGGTCCGATGGCGTGAATGTATGGCGCAACAAACGTCCATGGACCTCCAGACGCGTCGCCGAAGTGTTTGGACGTGCTGTGAGTCGAGTGCTGACTCGTGCTGTCTGCTGAGTTTTCGCATGGTTTTCGTGAACTTAGCCATGATTAGTGAAGAGTGCTGTTTGGAGAAGAAGCATGTGAAGAGTGCTGTGCGATGTGACATCTCTTTCCTACTTTTTCCAGAGAGAGTCATGGACGGGCAACAAAAAGAGGGTGAAAGGATACGGTATGTTTCTTGCATTTTCTGACCACTGTAGTATGGCACCGTTTTTTATGCTTGCAGAATGCTGACTCAAAACTATGAAAAACCTACAGTAACTCCCCAAAAGGGTAACCCCTTTCAAAAGGTCCAGTCTGTTCCAAACTGGCCTTTGGAATCCTTTGGATGAGGTCATTTGCGACGAGGCTCACGTGATGAGAACCATTTCCACTTTGTTGGGCAAGGCCGATCGCGGGTTCAACGCGTGGATGACACAGCGAGCTCCACCTCTGTGAGTTTGGTTGGGGCCCCACAGTGCCACAATCGGATGTGAAGCCTTTGAAGCAACCACTTCACTTATTTTGACTCACAGTGCCAGGAGTCATTTTGGGAACACATCGCGGGAAAGATCGAGAGGGTGTCTTATTTTGGACAGTCTGGTTGCTATTCGGTGTGTAACACTTGGGGGTGTATCCAAGGGGTGCTCCAAAATCTGCCTGCAAAGAGGATGAATTATGTTCCCTCAGATGGCACTTTCACCCACTTTCACTGCTCTTGGAGGACCATGATTTCTCCACCAAACCACCTGGAAAGCTCGGTCGAAGCTGAGACGGGATCTCCTCATGTTCGGGAGGCGATGCGGAAGATCTCCTCCTCCTGTCGCATTTTGCTCACAGGCACTCCTGTGCAGTAGCTTGGATGTGTGGCCCGGGGGAAGTGGAGCCAGCACAGAACGGAAGCGCGAGAAGCTTCTCATTGCCTTAAGGGCGACCCGTGCCATGGCTTTTTCCGTGAGGTCACTCACCCAAGTACCGCCCTCCAACATGGAAGTGGAAAGCCACCGGTTTGTAGAGGAACATGGCCATCCAAGAGGGCATACTTCCACTTCGATGATCATTTGAGTGTAGATCTAGCATCATTTCTCAAGAGTTTGGGAATCAGAATAGGTCGCTGCAAAAAGCCCGAGAGAAATGTAGGGCACGGGCATTTTGCGAAAGTTTGACAACTCAACTCAACCCCCCTGAACATGTTCCCTCAAAGGTTACTTTGATCTATATCAGGGAATTCATGTTGGATCTGACAACCAAGCGACAGCACATGCCGACTGAAGAAGCGTTGTTTGAATCCGATCAAGCCATGCACACCACATGCCGACTACACCACTCGACTCATACACCTTCTGAACTTCCGCCCAGTCCGGTCCCAACCACCTCAAAAAAATGACACGCCTTGTTGACCTGCATCTCTCATCAACCGTTCTCCTCCTCCTCCTCCGTGTTTTCATGTGTGTTCCACCCTCTCGAGCCCGGCCGGTGTGGTATTTTCCTGGGCGAATCGAATCGAGGAATGCCTTGCAAGATCTTTGGGCTCTCATGGACTTCGCCGAGCCTGGACACCGGGGCGAAAAGGAACGGGCCAAGGAACGGGCCACGGTCCACGGAGGAAGTTCATGGTGCACGGTTTTAGGCGTGGATTTGTGGAGAGCATCAGGGGGATTGTTTGGACATCAGTTGAAATCATGACTCACACTCCCCAAATATTCATCATGGGCCTGGCCGTGGACGGGGACAATAGCCCCGAAGACTCTCCGAAGAGCAAGCAGGTGGTTTTCACGCCGAAACTCGGATGATTTCAGCAGAGATAAATGCCAGGAGTTCCATGTCGGAGTGTCTATTGGGCAGTAGAGACTGAACCATGATCCACCGGCCTCTTTGGGGGGACCGGCCCACCATTGCGTTGGAACTGCTGGTGGGCCTGGCCCTACAAAAGGAAGTGGCGAAACCGGTGTTGTGTTGTTCCTTTCTCTTGTTATATAATGTAGTCCTTTGATTAATAAAGCCCCCTAGAATAATGTCCATTTTTTTCCTGCACTGATTAATAAAGGCCCCCAGAATAATGTCTTTTTTTTTTTGCAGGGGTAATTGTAGTGGATTTTTTTAATTCTTATAATTTACTTTTTCCCTTTTGAGTTTGCTGGGATTTGCTTATCTTACAGGCCTTTGGATGAAAATTTCTATTTGAAATTTTGAGATTTCTATTATAAATTTTGAGATTTCCATTGAGATTTGATGCTTTTGGAGGCTTTTGG